CCGTAATCTCCTTCCGCGATACACAATTAAATTTCCCTCCTCGGGCAAATATATTTTTCACCGCTCGTTTCGCCCTCCCCTCCGAGTAAGAAGTCGCCGAAGAATTTATATGTATGAGCACGAAGTCACCTAGTTCGGTCTCGTCCGGTTTTCCTTCTTGTTCGAACGATCGTCCGCGCGGCGCGAGATAACGCGCGCAGTGACGTACATACGTAGGAGGCGAGCTCCTCCAGCCTGGCAGATTTCAAGTCTTACAATTCTACTAATGTTCTTAACGAATTCGCTAATTCCACTTGACCTGTCTCGAAGATTAAATCTGACGAGGATATGAGAGGAAAATCGGGAAGAACGGCTTTGAGAGACTTTTGATTTTCAGATACTGCGAGCTCTCGTACCTTCGCGAAACGCAGAGCGGAGTGTTCATTAGGAAGTTGTTCTGCTGTTCCCGGACGAGAGTGAAGCAGTATTGTGGAAAAGTTTGGAGCGATCGTTGATTTTTCGTTCGATAACCAGCGCAGATACATAAACCCTCTGTTACATACGGAATGGGAACTTTAATTATTTAGTCGTAGATATAAAATATTCATCTCGTAATATAAACTTTAAATATCAGGTGATTGTAATAATTTAATTTTACTCTGCGTCTCTGCATTCTACGTGCAATAAAATTAGATTAAATTATAAACTATCACTCGAAAACACAGCGTTTTAAATTGCTCTTGTCAAAGAGCGGTATAATTAAAAATTAATTACATCGGTATTACACACGTCTGCCAAAGTGAATTTAAAATGCTAAATTGAATAATTCGTTTGAAAATGAAGTAACTTATTTCATTCAAAAGACAGGCCACTTTCGACTTTGCGTCATCTTAACCGCCAAAGTAAAGCGGATTTTATTTATAAGATTAACAAGAATAACACTCTGACAAACACAAACTTTCGTGCAGATATAAATATCGACGAGAAAGAAGAAAAATCTGTCCAAGCGTGTGTGGCGAAAAAAAAAAAGAAAAAAGCAACCATGCAGCCTGTAAAGAATCGGCCAGTCGAAGGGAGAGAAAAACTCTCGGGGCGTATCGCGCGCGTATATACGCGTACTAACTACGCCATTGTCTACGAAGCTACTTGTCGCTGATGTGAGTCGAGCCGATAGACGTCTCGGATCTTCTCCATATCAATCCATCGTGTCTGCACCGCCTGGCGCTTTCCAGTTTTCCATTAGAATGGCGAACAGGAACTTGAAAGTCTGGCGGATTCGAGTCTCCCCCTCCTCTCTTTATTTTTTCCTCTCTCTCTCTCTCTCTCTCTCTCTCTCTCTCTCTCTCTCTCTTTTTTTCACGGCAGTCTTACAGCACGGCTTGCGTTTAAAATCAATGTTCAATGCACATACGGCTTCCTTTGCTTTGTCCGGATAGCGCAGAGATGGATGTACACGTAGGAAGGGGATCCGAAAGGCACACATACGTGCACGTTGGTCTCGTACTCCCGATTTAGTATGAGTACGTGCGAGTCATACAGGGTTCGCCTGTACTCGTTCTTTGAGGGATATTCGGACGAGAGTATGTGTGCATACAGGGTGGTGTCCCCCCGTACGTACGTACGGTGATTTTCTACCGGGAGGGGGAAAAGTAAATTGAAGGAAAGGAATCAAATCTTTTCTCGTTCGACGCTTCGTTTCCGGGTGAGTCGCGTTTGAAAATTTGTCGGAATTTTTGGACGACCCTGCATTGAATACGGATGAATAATTGAGACTGTGAAATTTCGAATCTGAAATTTGGCGGATAGGATAATATTGTCGACTCTAATCTGGTGTCATTCGACGTTAGAAATTTCAAATTACAAGCATCGATAAATCTGATATTTTTGGCTTGATTTTGTTAACAGCCTCTGTGAAATAAAGTAAAACAGTTCAACACTTAGCAATTTCGCGATCATTTGTGTCGCTCGAAGATTAATAGCGCTGATCTGATAAAAACTAAAGAATTTTATATTTTACATCCTCTCGTTTCTCATTTAGTAAAATTCAATTAAATTAAATTAAAAAGTCCAAAATCAACGTCCAGTGACGCCAGTTACCAATCAAAGTCAAATGAACGTGGGTGTCATTCGACATTAGAAATTTCAAATTACAAGTATCAATAAATCTGATATTTTTGGCTTTGTGATATTTTGTTAACAGCCTCTGTGAAATAAAATAAAACAGTTGAACACTTAGTAATTTCGCTATCACTTGTTTCGCTCGAAGATCAATAGCGCTGATCTGATAAAAATTAAAGAATTTTATATTTCACATTCTCTCGTTTCTCATTCGGTAAAATTAAATTAAATTAAATTAAATTAAAAAGTCCAAAATCGACGTCCAGTGACGCCAGTTAGCGATCAAAGTCAAATGAACGTGGGTGTCATTCGACGTTAGAAATTTCAAATTACAAGTATCGATAAATCTGATATTTTTGGCTTGGTTTTGTTAACAGCCTCTGTGAAATAAAATAAAACAGTTGAACACTTAGCAATTTCGCGATCATTTGTGTCGCTCAAGAAGATCAATAGCGCTGATCTGATAAAAATTAAGGAATTATATATTTATACATCCTCTCGTTTCTCATTCCAAAAATCGACGTCCAGTGACGCCAGTTAGCTATCAAAGGCAAATGAACGCGAAATGCAAAGTACACCCTGTACATTGTGAACATGCACGTAGCTGCAGGGTTGCAGCTCGCAACGACGTTGAGGAATCGAGGGTGAGTCTTTAAAGCGACGTACGGAGGAACGGAAAACCAATTACAGATGCGAACGGGACATGCCCCGCAATTGAATCTCTCGATTAAATTTTTTTGTTGCGCGTGGGAACGATCTCGCGTCGCTTTGTATCTTGCGCGCTGATCACTGATGGGGATCAAGCGAGAGGAACGTGCTCGCGGAGGTCGGTGGTCTGATCTATTTCGCCACCCTTCTCGCCACGCTTCTCTCGAAGAAAATATCAGTGTGCACGCGTTACCTGCGTATCGTTATGAATTAACCTGAATAAGGCCTCGTTTGCCTTGACGTGCACCGCTGCAACGAGCTTTCCTACGGCTTCTTATTTGTCGGAGGATTTTCCAATGCCACGACGATGTGGATCTTCTGGAAAAGTCAACATTTTTGATTTATTAGTCAATTATTTATTTGAATCAGATTTCAAGTCAGTGGCTGATGAAATAAACTCATTGACGTTGGTTGATGCTTATTCGAACCTGAACTCGCATTAACTTGAAACGATAAAGCCATTAGTAGAGAGGAAAATCGATGGATTTCTTACGTGTACTCCAATTAGCGAAGTTTCACTGTACTTCAGTTTAAGATCTTTTCAATAATTTCTTGTCTATCGATAAATTTTCCTAATATAGATAATGATTGCTAGAAAGAGATTATCAATTAATTGTCCAGTCAAAAATTTGGCAACTGATTGTTATAAATAAATTTCTTTTATCATGGTTGGTACTTGTTCAACATTTGATATGTATATATATATATATATATATATATATATTTTTTAATGGTGTACAGATGAAACACAATATTGAAACAACAAATACGTGCGGAATAAAATTTTCGAAACGCGAATGTTTACGTTACGCGACGTTATGGTGCGGTTAAGTACTCTTCAGCCGCGGGCAATCTTCTTATTTTACCATGGAAAATCACGGGCGAAATTTATATCGTGCTCGGGTAGATTTATCGCGGGGAACTAACTGCAATGCGACAAAAAATGAAAATAGTGTGGAGAAAAAGGAAATAAGAACCAGCGGTTCGTGTATATAAAATATCTAAAGTAGAGCACACGTAATATCCCGTAGACGAGGAACATCTCTATTCTTTATTCACGTTCACATGAATCTTTGAGAAATTCGCAAAAATATTCCCTTTTAGCGGCGATGCAACATTTATCTTTCACTGTATGTTCTACTTTATTAAAGACAGCTTATAATTATCAAAATCTCCTCGACACGTGGCATGATATCACATTAATTTCCTGTTGATAAAATGATCGATAATTTGTTAATTGAATTACATTCTATCAGAAAACGTTGAATGAAACTGTTGTTTGCAACAACTTGCAAACGACGAGTCCCTATGCGAGCTGCTCGTCGATACTCGGATAGCGATAATTGATGGTTTCGAGTAAGCTTTTACCGAGTGACTCCGGAGAGTATTCCGGTTATCCATCGCGCGAAGAAATAAGTTCAAGGTGGCTGCATTCTTGCAACTTTGCCGCAATATTCGTGTAGTCTAGTTAGAAAGCGTACGCGATAGCGTGAAGTTTAACAATGCGGTTACACGTGCTGCCTCGAGACACAGCCGCTCCCTCCACTTTGCAGACTCGATGCAACATTATAAAGGCCAACTTTCCAGGCAACACCGGCTATTAACTTCCCCCAAGATTTCCTTCATCGCCTCCTTTGCAACCATGTGCGTTTACTTGCCCGCGTAGTTTTCTGCCGTTGCGGCTGCTCGCCCGTTAAAGGCAAACAGAATTAAAAGGAATTGACGCGTTTGTTTGGGAAACACATTCGAAATTATTTATTGAAAGTTCCAGCTACCTAGTTGTTCATCATTCACGCGGACGCTGTTACATCTTGTTGCAAGTATGCTCGAAATTATCGGATTTATCCTGGCCGGAATATTTTGTCAATTTTTGCCACGAAAGCTTCTATTTTATTTCCCAAATACTCGGATTTATCGAATTTTTCAGCAAACGTGGAATAAACTATTACGTGTTTCGTTACCTCTTTATGGGGAAAGCTTCTATGTGTATCAGTGTCTGGCAAATACTAGAAATCACCGGATTTCCCAGCAAGCACAAATTCTCCCACGTTGTTACTTTATACGAATATTCCGAATTTTTCAACAAACTTTTGCCCGAGTCCTACTTCTGTTTAAATATACTGAAATATATTTTTGTTTGAACCCGTTCTTTCTATTACCAAGCTACGTAACGACGCATTTCTCCTCGTTTTCAGAAATCCCGCGTGCAATCAGACGTAAGGGCAACGAGCAACGCAATTATGTCTCCCTGGGCTTCCTCATCAACACGATCGGCGGACACTGGCATCGTTTACACTTGAACGGCTTCGAAGCTTCATCCATCGCCACGAATTGCGTAAGTCTCGTTCAGTTTTTTTCTCTTTTCAGCTGAAAGACTGATCTACCAACGCGCTACTACGAGGCGAATGCTATGTATGTTGTCTACGAACAAGAGCTTTAAAACCCTCGTTTTTCTTTCGTCTCTTTCTCTCTCTCACTCTCGAGCTTCTTTGTTCCCTCGCCACCTACTTGTCTTCGTTGTTCTTTTTTTTTTTTTTTTTTTTTTTTTAAGAAGGAAAAATATTCTCTGAAACGGAGAGAGACCTGGATAGGCGCGTTGTCGTCGCATGAAAATTTACTTTAACGAGCACGAAAGACTTTTGTGCTTTTCATCGAGCTCACCGAGGCGAGGGGCGGGGAAAAGAAGAAGGGAAATTCGATCGAGCCGGTCTTCAATGTATTCAAACGATCTCAAGTATTTACGGGCGTTTCTTGTTGGCCACGGGGCATCGTGATCCCTATACACTTCGCGCCTACTACTACCACCACCTCGTCCCTCGGTGAATACGAAATTTATTAAATTTTTTTTCTCTTCTTTCTCTCTCGCGCTAAATCTCGAATGGATTCGCGATAACCGATCGAGAGATTAAAAAGGAAAGAAAGAGCTCGACGAGCTTGCTATGGAAAATTGACTCGATGGGGCGAGATGGATTTTCCATTCGCTGTCTTTTATGAATCTTAAAGACGAAGGTGTGCGTAGTACTGTCGCTCGAAAACACGTGAACACGGAATATCATTATCGTTGAATCTTCGTCAGTGACAGTAATCCAATTCAGTGAGTATATTTCACATTTGTTCAAACAAATTTCGAGAAATCGAGCAGATTTTTTGAAAGTGTAAATTTCATAATTCGAATCAACAGTCAACAATCCATCGTATCGATAGATCACAATATTCGACTCACTCCCATTTCTGATAAAATTTCAAAATAATGTAATACATTGCGCTTACATATACGTGCATTATATCGTACGCTTGTATATACTTGTTGCTTGTGTACAGTTGAAAGTACTTCGCACGTTCCAACCAGCGGCAATAGGAGTCAAAAATATTCGTGTACCGCCTGAATTTTATTCCGGCGGTAAAAAGGAGGAATATTTTATTCAAGGGAAATTGCTCGCTCGCAAAGTTTGAAAAGATTCATTAAAAGTTTCGCCGAGCGCCTTCTCCGAGAAAATATCCGCGTACTTTTGAACCACAGTGTACATTTGCCTGCGTGTCTACGCCACGTAGATCTCTCCCGCGTTGGTATCACCCGCCACCACCCCGTTGCCGCAAGTCTCGTTTCGTCGCGCGTCAACTGGTTGCTTATTCGCGAGATTGGAATCGCGATACTTATCCCATCCCGGGAGTTGGAAATCGCATAAAACGACGCGTTGCGAAGCAAACATAACAGAGAATGATCTCGTTCGCGAGATTATCCGCGAGGGGGGGAATATATTTGTACCGCTCGCGTGTACAACGCGAATTTTCGATCATCGTTCTTTCTCCTCTTTTTTGTTCGCTCGCGACAGGCCTCTTACGCGCGCGATCGGGCTAAAAGGGGTCGAAAATCCTCTCGTGAGGACGCATTTCCGGGGAAACTTGCCGATCGCCGCGGGCTCGAGGAGTACTCTATCGCGCGCGCAGCAGCCTTCTTCAACCCCCTTCTTCGCTCCCACACAACTTCCACCTTTTCTCGTCTCCTTGTTCCGGGTTCTTTCTCCCCTTCTTTTCTTCTTGCCGTTTAGTCTCTCTCTCTCTCTCTCTCTCTCTCTCTCTCTCTCTCTCTCTCGCTCATCTCGTCGCCCGCGACAGATTCCATCAGCGTTCCACTCGGTTCAGCCCGCGGCGTCGCCGCTCTCTCGTTTGCCAACGAAACAGGCTAAAACGGTCAGACAAGCCTACACTTTCTGGCTTGCGCGACGACAAAATGAGCCACGGGGAGGGTGGGAAATTCGGCGAGGGAACGCCAGTTGCAGTTGAAATTTTATAAAAATCTACCATCTGATTTTCCACTTGTTGGTGTCCAAATCGATGGCGATTAGGAATGAAAATGACAAGTGATGGTCAGATGTTTGTAAATTATTTACCTTTTCATTATATTAATTCGTTAATTCTTTGCGTCGATTCGTTGCCAAACGAGCGAAACGAAACTAGTTCAATTGGCAAATTGACGATAAATAAAGAAAATTTTCAATCACGCTTATTCTCATTTCAGTTTCCCATTTTTAATAGCTTTATAATAGAAAAGGATTTTGTTCAAGGCTTTTGTGAGCACAGGATAGGACGTTGTGGAATTTTTCTACAACAAAGTTCGAAGATTGACCATTTCTCGTTGACGATCCTTTAATTTCGCGGTTTGGTGTACATTGTATATTCTCGTTATGTGTGGGAAAACGCATTTCGCGTCGCGTTGGAATCCACGAAAATCGACAGACAAATGGGGAGAAGAATCGAGGATATCAGGGTGGGGTAAGATCGAAGTAATTAAAAAGAACGACGTTAAAACTTCGCTCCTCTCGCCGGCCGCCGCGCCACCAATTATCCTGGCTCTTTATCATCGTCATTACGCGCGATGATTATTATTATCATCATGCAGCGTCTTTAGTTTCCTTTTAACTCCCCTTACGCGACGACGGATCCGCATGAAAAGATGCTCGATCCTCGTCAGTCCGTTGAAAAGCGAGGAACGAATGGGAAAAAGTGTGTACGCATGAGGGATGAAGAGAGAGAGAGAGAGAGAGAGAGAGAGAGAGAGAGAAAGAGAAAGAGAAAAGAATCACAGATGGGAAGAAAATATTGTGAAAGAGGAATGGAGAGGGTAGAAAATATTATCTGGCAGTGGTGGCGGCGTCCTTCGACCGCCTCTTTGTCGCGTTCGAGAAGAAAACGCAAATTGGCGAACTTTGGCGAAACTCCTGTACAATAGGATCGCAGCCGTGGCAACAATGAGCCTTGTATCGGCCTTCTAGCCTTTCTCTCTCTCTCTCTCTCTCTCTTTCTTCTGTCGTCTGTGTATCGACTAGCCTCGTGTCACTCTTTGTGCCCTTTAGCTTTGAAAACGCGAAGGAAAAAGTTGCATTCACTCTCATTGTCGGAACGCCTTCAGGGGTGCTGCTGGACTTTCGAGGCCTTTTCGATGGACATTGTGCCGAGCTAACGAGAAGGAACCTTTCGCCCATTCTTCCCTCTGTTACCGAAAGGAGAGGCGATCGAATATCGTCGAAATATCCAAGTGTGACGTTTCTAGAGTGTAGATCCTATCGCTCAGCTTCAAATCCCTCTTGAACCAAAATTAGTAGAGTTGCAATCAATATTCCAAGCGTTCGGTTGGACCCAGCCAGCAGCAAGAGCTCTGTTTCGAACTAGTCTTTCTCGACGAAAAAAGGATGAAAAAATTCGCTCTGTTCCGCGAAACGAAAGTCAAACAGCGGCCGAGCGGTTCGTTAATGGACGAAACACCGCGGGGAAAAGTTGGCTGTTTGTCCGAGGCATTCGACCGCGAAAATACGATTGAACGTGCACCGGGTTGGAGAGGATTGCGGTATGGAAGTTGACGAATAATTAAAGCGCGCCCTATCGAAATTACTTAGCGCGATCTCTACCGAACGCTTTCTTTTTTCCTCTTCTTCTTCTTCTTCTTCTTTTTCCCCCGCCGAGTGAATTGAACCACGGTTCGTTTGACTCTCCTCTCTCCGCCGGGGTCATCGTCGAGCATTGTCGACGACGAAATCAAGAAGAAGAACGTAAAACTCGTCGCGAAGAAAAACGAAGAAGTGAAAAAGGGGAAAGTTGAGGAGGTGGGAGGGAGCTGCCTTCTAAGAGCATTACCTTCGCATTTAAACGATAATTGCTCATTCGCCGGCAGTTCGTTATAAGATGAAAGAGTCGTGACTTTGCACGTAGCGGGGCGCAACCCGCGGAAAGGAATGCGACGCCTCGACGTAAGCGCTGACAATATTCACGGTAATCCAATTGAAATTAATTCTCCAGCGAAGGCTCTTTGTTTCCGTCTCTGTCTTCTCTCTCTCTCTCTCTCTCTCTCTCTCTCTCTCTGAATAAAGTCTCATAACCTCTCCGAGTTGAAGAAGGGGCTGTGGAACCGGAAGTGACGTGAAATATCGCCCGACGGCGTAATCGAGCGCGCCGGAGCAACGGATCTCTTCGAGGTTTCTCTACTTGTTACCGTGACCCTCTCAGGGTTAATCATGCGATCAAATCGAGACAGTAATTCGACTCCTCTCCGTGAGGACACAACTGCCCTTCATTGGTACTTTCTCTCTCTCTTTCTCTCTCTCTCTCTTTCTCTCTTTTCACCTTCTTAATTATCCTTCGTTAAACGATATTACGAGTGCATTTAAAGGGTGGCTCTTAACGGTTGCGACAATTTCAATTTTGTCGAGCGAACAGAGACAAAGGTGTACATTCCGAAAGGATAATGTAGCGTCGTTTGAATTAGCGGGATGTTTTGAGCGAGATTGAGTGTTGTCTTGCAGCTGCAACGGATTTCTCGATAAACACGCAGCGATTTCTGCTTCTCGTTCTTTGAGAAACTCTCGTTTATACAAAGAATGAGATGCCCGATCAATGTCAGAATTAGTTGCGATTAGAATTCATTGGCAAGTTTGCGTTCACTCGATTGTCGTACGAATTATTTCATTACAGTTCCTCGTGATTCGAACAGTGAAAGAAGAATAACAATTTTCTCATGTCTCCGTTGTTATAATATCTTGAGAATCGAATTGCCCAGTTCAATTAAAATTCAAACAACCCTATGGTTTTCTTTCTCTTGAAATTCAAAGTCGAGACGTTAAATCTCGGCCGGCTCGAGAACAATCCCCGCACCGGATTCAATTTAAATCAGGGTCGAACGATTCGGAGCAACGCAACAAACAACCTGCTAATTTGCTGGGGAAAATTTGCGGACGAGGCCACTGTGATTCGGGAATCATCGGGGCTACGAGTTGGCAATCGGAAATTCGACGCGGCGGTTCACGGCGTACGTGAACGCGTGTCGCCCACACGCAACTCTGTACGATAACAATCGTACTCACGTGGCGTGCGCGTCGCGTGAACGAAGCATAAGGCGTGTAAACGCCGCCTTCCTCATTAGAATGCCAAACATTCGACCGCAAAGCGACTTCCTAACCTTCCTAATTCGGCGCTTTCGCGTCTTCTGTCATTCTCTGTCCACTCGATCGATTAATCTAACACTCCAATCCGTCACACGTGTTTCCACCCATCTCGTTCAAATTTTTAATATTCTCTTCTCTTTTTTTCTTTTTCTTTTTCATTTTTCTTTCTTTCAGTTCAAATTTCAATTTTTTACATTTTCAACGCAGTACGACACGGGCACGGATTTTTTTTAAATCGCCTGAAACTACGTGCGGGTATTTTTGCCAAAATTGATATTGACTTCCGTTTAGGACAGAGACCTCCATTTATTTCGATTATCATCGTTCTAATTATTATAAATTTGATTTATACGTGAAATGTGAATTTGGGTATGCGTTAAAGGCGGGTTTGTTTTAATGCTAAAATCCTGTGGAATTTTTTGAAATTTGGTCGGCAAAGGCAGATGGAATAAATCGTGATTTGGTCGGCACGCGATGGCAGGAAACATCGAGACCGTCGAACGGAATCATCACCACATTTTTAAAATTCTATTACCCGGCTTTTTCCCTAAAAAGAAAAAAAAGTGAGCAGGAATTTCGGCCAGAGAGATGATTAATAGAGAGATTAGACGTCGAATAAATCGTAGTTTGGTCGGCGCTCGGTTGCGCGAAATCGCGATTCGATAAATCAAAACCACCGACGTTGCCGAGATCGTACTCGCGTTTGGAAAATTCTGTTAATCGATCTGTTTTTTTTTTTTTTTTTTTTTTTTTTTTTTTTGTAAATTAGCGACGCGAAGTTGCGACCCGCTAAATCAAAATCGTCGACCGATGTTGAAGTCATCTGCACGTTTGGAAAATTCGATTCTCATTTTGTTTCTTTTTTTTTTCCAACCATTGGACACCATAACGATTCATTGAATCAAACTCATTACACAGCTAAAAATCAACTCTGTGCATGTTCGAAAAATTCTGTCGATCGAATTTTTTTTGGAAATTCCAGATTAGGTGGCAAATAAATCGTGGTTTCGCTGGTACGCTGTGACGCGCGATTTCACTAAATCAAAATCGTCGACGCCGGTGAAATTATCTGCCGCCCGTGAATCTCCGTCAATAGGCTTTTGAAAAATAAGAAATATGCTTGCGCCGAGATATTTCTTTCCACGAAGAGATATAGAAAGAGAGAGAGAGAGAGAGAAAGTCATCGTAAATTTGTCGATATTTTAACCGACTCTGCTTCCAGGGGATTTCGTCTAGCCATCCTCGTTCCCCCTTTCTTCCCCTCTATCCCTTTTCATTCATCCACCACCACTCTTAATACAGTCGTATGATTTATTGAAAACTGAAAAATCTCTCTCTCTCTCTCTCTCTCTCTCTTTCTCTTTCTTTCTCTGTTGTCCGATTAAAAAGTTCGCCCATTACCGCGCGTCGTGGTGGCCTAGGCTCATTCAAAGCTCCATTCAAAGATGTCGCATTGTCGCGAGGGGGTTTCGATGCCTTGGAAAAAGTCGCGGCGAGAGCTTTGCCACACAACAATGTGTCGTGACCGCGCGCCAGAGGCCTAGGCTCTCGTTGGAGAGCGACCGGCATTTACCACCGCGATAGAATAATAATGGGCCGTTTATGCGACGGCTAATACGCCACCCATCGGTGGGCGCAGACCGATGGAATTCGCGGATCATTGAGAACCGCTGCGGGCTAAGCTGTCACAAAGCTGTGCCACCTCCGATGCTGCTATAATAAACCGCGATAGAACGCGGCGAATAAATGCGAGAGCAACGGCCTGGCCTCTGGAAAACGCTCGACCTATCGCGCATAATCGCGCGCGACGCTGAAGAAAAGTTCTCCATCCCTTTCCTTCCTGGCTGCCCTTTCTTTCTTTATTTCTTTCTCTTTTTTTTTCCAGTAACGCGGCAGTGGATAGTGGACGTGTTAAGAGGCCTCGGGGAAAATTAATTGCCATCGGATCGATGCTTGAATTATTTTAGTTTAGGGACTAAAGGGCGGGGGGGGGGGGGCTGTTTCATTGTGCGAATTTGGAAGAGAGGGGACTGCCTTGAAGTTTCTAAAGAATTCGAATACACGTGTGCCTGAGACATTGATTTAACCAGTTTCTCGCATGTTTGAAAGTTATCGATTTTGAGAATTTTGTAGGACGGCGGGTTGATAATGAGTCGATCGAAGGGTGAAATGAGAAATGGAAGCGTAAATCAGGAAGTCTTTTATTAATATCCAGATACATAGAGACCATTAGATACATCGAGAGATGCTGTAATTTTAAAATGAAGATTTTGTTACACTGTCAGACGCAAGTTCGAGATCAAAATTAATTGTTTATTCGTGGAATAAACTCATCTTCCAATGAATTTAAATGATTTGCATAGGAAATATGTCTTTAAATTCAGGAATCTTGAATACCTTCAAACACAGATATATTCCATATGATTACTTTCTAACGAGTCAAAGTAGTTTGTTTATGAAACTCAACGTTTAACAAGTAATCTTACATTTGTCACATGTTCGAGTTTAGAAATAAATGAAAAGGAACATTTGTCATTATTAATATTGTTCCCTTGCAATGAACGAGTGTATTTGAAATAAATAATTTAAAAGTCCAAAATTAATCGTGCACTCGTGTAACGAAATTCAGTTGATCAGGTTGACTTCTATTGGAGAAAAGTCATCTCCCTTCGGCTTCATTGTCTTTTCCCTTTTCTCTTCTCGTGTGTATTTTCTGGGTGCCAGGATGACACCACGTGCAAGTAATGAATTAATAACGCGGCAGTGAGAAGCGTTTCCGAACAAAGAGATAAAGAATGAAAGTCATAGAGGTACCATGCCACGGTTAATTTGCCGTTTCCTCTGGCCAGAGCGTCGTATTCAGTCTCGTTGCAGCATCCCCAATGACACCTCGAGAGATCTTCCTTTTCCGATCGGCGGTTCTAAAAAATTCCAGAGTTTCATTCTTCGTGAAAGCGTCAAAGACATCTATCGACTCCATTACAGAGAGAGACTCGAAGTAATACTTGGGAAACAGCTTACAGTGCATCAATTTTTATGAATCAAGGGACAAAGACGAGATGTGGGTCGTTTCCTGGTCGCGAAAAAAGGTAGAAACAAAAATGAAAAAGAATGACGGGGCTGAAAGAAACAACTTGCACATCAAGTATCTTTAAACTTTCAGAATATTCTAATTCGTCCCTTTTGCAGATATCTCGTTAACCCCTTGCGCTGGCAACTGGTTCGCGGACCATAACGAGTGACCAGGCGGTACACAATAATTCGTCGCTTTCTTTTTAAACTCGTCGGTATATCACTGGATAGAAATGACCGAGAAGTAATAAATTTATTATTTGTTTTGGGTTATGCTTGAATATACATAAAACTGAGAAAATATTGCAATTTTGCAAACAAAAGATTCTCGACGTGCGTGGCACGTCATTCCAGCGCAAGAGGTTCAGACAGCGAAATTCCCAAGGACAAATACGAAAACTCATGCAAACAACAAGATGGCTCGAGGGCGAAGGGGGCAGAGCTTGTGCGCCGTTTTCCATTGGACTTCCATGGGGTTGCATCGCTGAAATAACGATTTCCGTCCCGTGATTTCGGCGGCTAGGTTACTGCAGTTCGCAGTACAAAGTTCTCCTCGGAAAAGAGGTGAGAGAGACGGCGGAGGCGGTTGGTAGCCGGGGGAGGTAGACGTTCGGAATCTGAACGGCCGGTGGGAAGTTCCGAAACGCCGGATGGAAATGCCTCGGTCGGATTAGCCCCTACTAGGCCGATTGTTCGCCAGGACGGTGTCGGCCCGCCTAATGTGCACTGCACTCGTGCCGCGAAGGGGGATTTCCTGTCTGCGCGCGCGTTCCTACGCGCTCTGGCCACCTATATAATCCTGGTCTGCCCCTTCGGGGATCGGCCGACGTTACGACCCTGCTGCACGTCCGAGAACGTGACCGTACAATTAAGCGGTCGACTCGAATGGAATTAAGTTCGGAAAGTAGGATGCGTTTAATGGAGGAGGCCCCCCGATGATACGCGCCCGATCCTAACACGCGTTCACCCCGTGTCTTTTATTATTATTCTTTTCTTATCCTTTCGTGCCACGGTCAGTCTGTTTTTTTTTTTTTTTTCTTTCTTTGTTGCGGGATGTCCTTGCACGAAAGGACCATTAGGATTCTGTTTGTGAGGCAAGATGTGGAATAAAGTTTTCGATTGTGAGTTGAGTTTCGGGGAGTTTTACGAGAAGAACTTTTTGCCGAAAATTATATATTCGAGATTAATGACGTTGATAATGTTGAAAGTTTGTTAATTAATCGGTGAAATTCGAGTGTCCTTTCGTCGAAACTTTTTTTAAATTTCCGAGCTATCAGATCTTGATTTGGGATCGTCGTGCGTCGGGTTTTCGCACCTTCTGCTGACACCCCGGCGTCGTAGTCCTTTTCTGCCTGCCTCAAGTTCCTTCGTCTAATTGTGTTTTATAAGGGACGTAGGGGGAAGCCTGTTTTAATTAGTCAAACTCGGGAGAACTTTTACGAGAGCCTTATCTCGTTATTCCGGGGATTCCAGAGAAGATCGTAGTCAGGGTAATACTCAGGGTGGAAGGTAAATGTTTCGTATATTTTAGCCTCGAAGGTTCGTTAAATTATAGAAAACTGTGTCAAAAGAACACAGTTTCCTTTATTTTGTTATTTTACCGCATGTGTATTTGTAAATGTATTTGTACGAACATTCTTCTTCGAAAGAGGAAAACTTTCTTCTTCATATGTACATGTAACAAGAAATTGCGTAACTTTACGTTTGCATAACGCAAAGTAAATATAATATATGTTCCGATGTTAGACTTTAAGGGGTTAATATAAATCGGTGAAACACGTCGTCATCGAATATCATCCTCTCCCTCTCAGTGCAACGTTGAAGAATCACGGAGAAAAAGGGAGCGAGACGCGAATGCATCCCGCGAATTATGCAATTGCAACGTTAATGTCCGCGGTCTCTGAAATTGTCCTCCCTCCCTCTCTCTTTCTCTCCCGAGGTTTCACGGCGAATCGACCGCACGGTTATTGCTTTATCGCGTATTCCATTTTGCGGCGCGGCTGTGTTGGAACGTCGCGCACGCAGTTATGCATTCGGAACGCATTAACGCGCCCTCGTAGACATTTTTATCTGCTCGTGTGTGGCTGGTTGTTTTTCAGTATATGGCAGATATATCACTGGCGACAACGACAACGACAGCGACAACAACGACGACGACGACGACGACAACGATGAAGATGACGATGACGATGACGAAGACCAGGCCCGTGAAGTACGTAGAAAGCCGTGGTATAGGTCGGTTCAAAGGCAAACCTCGCAGCGAATCTCGCCACTTCGAAACACTGTGCACCGCTCCTTTCTCTGTCCCTTGGTTTCTATCACCCCATTCCCCTTCTCTTCTTCTCTGTCCTCTTTCACGATGTTTTCCGGCCGCCTCTCTTCTCTCCCATTTCTCTCGCTCTTATCCACTTTTCTCCGCTGTGCGTCCCTCTCTTGCTCCCGATGGCCCCTCCACGTAGTTCGTACGTACTCTCGCTCTTTCTCTCTGCTTAAAGCCCTGTACACACATTGCAGCGTGTACATGCGGTGTGTGCACGGGACTCTAAAAAAAGGCGGCCGGGGCCATTCGATGGCAGCTGTTCCACATTTGAAGGATGGATATTCTTCGGGCTTTGTCGTCACGACAAAAGACCCTCTTTCACAAAAGGCCGAGCCGAGCCGAGCTTTCCGCGCGCGAGTTCTCTTTCTTTCTCTGTCTCTCGGAGAGCGTGGCACAAGCATTCAGGGGTCTAAGTTCCATATGCGCTACAGGCACGACCCACCACCTCTTCTCTCTCTCTCTCTCTCTCTCGCGTCTCTTTTACCTATTTTTCTCTCTTTCCAATCTTTCTCTCGGACCCGTTCTCCATCCCCTTTTTTGCTGGTGTGTTACGGCTCGACGAGCGACAGTTCATCTCCGCAGAGACGCGGAGGGCTTACGAAAACTCGCCCCCTCACGGTAATTAGACGCCCGCTATTACCCTGTCACCCCCTCCCCCTCTCTGCCGCTCATCTCGCGAGGGAAAAAGCTGATAATCCAGTTAGTGTTTCTCTATGCACGCGTTACGCCAGAGTTAATGATAATTCCGTTCGACGCGGCTGGTTAGGTCGTTAACGAAAGTATTTTTCAACGAGAAACCGGGTTTCTGGGCCACAGCGTGGCCATCCTGCGCGTCACCACTCTTTCATCGTTTCGCGTCACGTACGCGTTACGTTACCAACTTCCTGACCACTGGGCAACGAAATTTATCGATGAAAGTTGTTTCGTCGTTCTTTTTTTTTTTTTTTGGAATTTCTCTCTTCAAACGCATCGACAACTTAAAGATATTGGCTCTTCTTGATGTCGACTCTGTTTCTTAAATTTTACTTTCAAAAATATCGGACGGTCAATGAGAAACGAGAAAAAAAAAAAAAAAGCGGAGAGACGTACATTCTACAGGTATTTCGTTCACGTACGTACGAGCAATGTCGTGCTCGGTTGCATCGTGTTTCACACGGCAGATATCCTCTCTTACCTCGGATTCTTTTCACGAAGGAACGCGGAGTCGTTCACACCATCGATTCCCCAGTCCCCATGACCGATAAAGAAGAATCGTAGAGCGGCGGCTCTGTCGAGTGAGACCCTTCGGAAATGCCAAGCATCGGCTAGTAACCCTAACCGAACTAGTTTCCTTTTGATTCGAACGGAAACTGCTGTCTCCCCGGAACCAGTGTGTGTCCGTGCACACCATTGCCAGAGAGAAAAACAGAGAGAGAGAGAGAGAGAGAGAAGTTGCTCGTGAAATGACGAACAGTCTGTTCTGTGGTGACTAATGAATTTGCTACGAGCTCTTCTTGCTCGACGACCCCGTTTGACCCTAGCAGCTTTGAAGTTACGAGACGGCGGCACACGAATCTACCAGCGTGCCACGCAACAACCAGT